GCCCACTCTGTCCAGCATCCCTTATCTCCGCCTGACGTACCTGTAACCGGTCCCTAGTGTAGCTTTCGTAGGTTCTCTCTTAAAAATGATTTTCTTGCGTGAAACTTTGAACATTGTTTCTAGTGATCACAGTTGACTGAGTCATGTAGGAAACGAACATAGTATCATATCAAAACCTAGTTCTCTCATCCTCAACGCGATGTGTTTGCCAACTTTTTAATGAGTTTGAAATTCTTACGCATTTGCGTAATGTAGTGTTCTTGACGAGGGCTAAAGGTCGGGATAACGAAAGGGAAAAAGTCTAACAGTTGGTAAGTGGTTACTTACTAAAGGAAATTTCTCACATAATGTACGTAATGCGGTCGTACTTAGCCGCACATGCAGCGCGCTACAGAGCGAGGATCATATGGGGATATGGACCATTGGCGATGTGGACGTGACTGTTATCAAAGGTGTGTGGGCCCCCAAGCTCCTCGATCTGCACCGATTTTCCGTTCTTGTCTGCGTTTTCTTAATAGCTGAAATACCACGCTCCCCTATTTCAAGTCGCCCCAGATCTGCATTTTTATCGAATGTTGCAAAATTTGAGTAAACTCGAATTGTAAATCTTCAAAATCCACTTTTCAGTATGAAGGGAACTGGCTCAAAAAAAAACGAAAGAAAGATCTTTGCGGTCTTATGTCGCATAACGTCTCTAGTTCGTTCTGGGTCATAAGAGCGGGCTGTCGAACAAGTCTCTGCAGAATGGAAGTTATTACGAGATCCTTATTGCATTGTTTTGCAAAGGTCATGTTTTGGTTATGGCGTATCACATAAGCAAACTAGGAAATTTGGCCGCTTTCACTAAAATTCTCTTTCGGGGCGAAAAGTTAACAGGTGGTAACAGTTTCATCATGCATTAATTGCCCCGTTAAAGTTTGAAGCCGGTTTAAGGGGCGGATTACGGGCGCGAAGGCGGTCAGAGAGACCGGTGAGGTTGCGCTCTGTGCGCGTAAGCGCCTCGTCACATCTCCTTGGAAACCTGATCTCTCTCTCCCAGTCGCAGTGCTCCCCAATTTTTAACTTCCAGTTGATCTTGCCACCTGTTTTTGAGTCACTTACATGCGCGCGCTCTCTGCTTTTCCTCGCCCATTTTGCTGCTTATTCGGGCGCCAGTTTCGCGGTATGACTGGCATCTTCTTGAAGCCATATGGGTGGCCGGATTCGCCAACAAAAAGGGAAGTGTCGCTTCGACTTGTCCCACTCCAATTTCTGTCACCTATTTGGCCACTTTAAGTCTCATTCTGCCACACTTCCTTCCTCTCAGAAGGAAGGTCGTCCATCGCAAGCCGCGCTTTCGAAACGGTTTTTGCATGTTTTAGGGGCACATACATGGAACACAAGTCCAAGGTTACTTATAGCTGAACGATTCTAGAAATGCCCAAGCGAAAATAATTCCGTTGGAGCTGACGTTTGCACTGCAATAGTGTGGCGCATATCATGCATGCATTAACTATTTGCACGCAGAATGTTTTTGTGAACTGCACATTGAAAACTAAGTCAAAAAGAAGCTCAAGCTATGTACTGATGAAAATGTTGGATATCGGTAAGCTTGTCGGCATCGTGGTTGATGCAGGGGAGCGCTTAACAGAATCATCGAGTCAAGTCGCGGCCCCAAAATAGTGGCAAATGGAGCGCGTCAGAAAAAAGTGTCATGTCCATAATTGGAACACTGATAAGTTCTCATTATCAAAGCTTTGAGAAAAATCGAGATTTTGAGCAGACTTCGAAAATTTGGACAAGCTTTAACATAAACCAGAACAGAGCTTAACCTGCCACTCTTTGGCGAGGAAAATAACAGTGGCTTTGCCGTCGTGCGTGACTTCTTGATCATCACCAACTTGCCATTGCCCCTCCTGGTTCAGGATTTCTCATTTCTCGGGGAAAATGACGAGGAGTTTGCTTGCGTGTCGTCCGCCGCTCTTCTTACAATGATCCATTCTTCTAAAGTTAGGTCAATGTGTTGATTCTTTCTGAAACCTCGGCTATGAAGGTTTTATTGGTCCCTGATCCCAAGAAGGGCATTCATTTCTGGGGCCGTTGTCATGTGGCGTCATTAGGGAGACACTTTGGCAACCAAATTGTCCCTGCTGGATTTCAGCAAAACATCCTCGCGAGGATCACAGTCCTAATGTAAAGGATGTCTTTTGGCGCTGGCGCCATTTGGCACCAGGGTGAAATCGTGTTCGATACGGGTAGCAGGCAGAGTCAACCCTGCGTTGCGCAGTTCTCAACGGCCACGTTGCGCAGTTTCGCCCGATTAGACACGTTCTCTCGCGCGAACATTCACACTCGCATGCTCGAGCCGTCTGCGTCTCCGCCCATACAGCGTGCGTTGAGGATCTCTCAACGTGCCGTTGCGAACTGCGCAACGCAGGGTTGAATTCAATTAATTAATCAAAAAAAATCCTGCAAAATAATGTTATGGACGCCTCATCTTGTCATCTATGCACTGTCTTTCATCGCTGCACACTTTTGTGTATTTACTGAAATATCGACTCGAGGAAAGAGGCATTAACTTTGTGTGACCTCAAAGTCAGGTTCGTTCAGAAATGCACAGAAATCCTGAAGGCACGGGGTTGCGATTTAATCTTAATTCCTGCTTGAGTATATCGAAACAGCCGAGTGTATCAATCAACGGCCGATTCAACGGCAGCTGCGGCGCGATTGTCACTGGGTCAGATTTGCTGAAATCCCGAAAAAAACCGTCGAAATCTACACCCTCGATGAAAAGGTTGCATTCCTCCATTTCATAACCTTTGAAGCAGTTTGAGGTAGGGTTAGATAGAGCTGGATTTCGCGTTTCCAAGAAGTATTGAAATTGCTCTGGAAGCCTTCCATGCAGAAAGATAGGGTCTCTCAAATTTCGTCGAGTAAACGTCGAGGACGCTGAAATTTTCACGCGAGTTTTTGCCACTTCAAGAGCAATATCTCTCTTAAAACGTGAGATCCTGAAAAAGTGAAGATAGCGGAAGGTTTGCGCTTTCTGATGGTCTTCTTAGCTTTCTTCTACATTTCCTAGTTGAGAAGATATCTGCGTCGAGTATGTATCGAGGACGGATCCGGCCACCTGAAAATCCGCTCCCTCCTTCACCATTGCAAGTGTAATTGTTGGCAACGCTTGAAATGGGTCTAGAAAACATCCTCCCAACATAAGCAATAGGAAAAGGGGCAATCGTCATCATCGAATTTTGTCTGAGTATAGGCCATGCATCCGACCTCACTCGAAGTTGCAGAATCGATTCGAAGGTGTCATATGATCATGACCAGTTGACAGAAGCTGCATTGTAGTAAACGCATTTCGTAACTCCTACAACCTAAAGAACAACTTCATTTGCCCAGGGCTTTTCCTTCACGGTTGTCGTTTTTGCGACAGGGTCCCTAACAACAGTGTCATTCTCAGCGAGGTATTAAGGGAGAAGGAGCGAGCGATAGGCAGAGGAGGTGCCTTTGCAGCGCGTGCGCACATGTGGCAGTCTTCTTTGCGGGGATGCACTTTCATTCTTTGTACTGCCTTCAAATACGCCCTTCTCATGAAGGTGGAGGAATGGAGCGACTGAACCTGCAAAGAAAATTTAATATCATGTTTTTTTCAGATATTTTCATTTTCTGCTGCGCTATACCCTCTTACCTATCTGCACCACGATACCACTGCTGTTACTGACCCCAAGAGTACGACCCCCCATGACCCAGCCCGACAGGTACGACCCCCCTGTCGAGGATTTCCTCGACCGATATTCACCCTGTTTTGGCACCCATCTGAATGCGCCAACATGAAATGCAAAATTTTGTCACTCGTCACGAGAAATCGAGCTTTGGACCCATTCCTCCCTCTTCTTTCCTCAGAAGATCTTCAGCAGAAACGAAATCCGGTGCTATGTTCCATGAATATTCCTACAAAATACACGAAACCGTTCTGAAAAGAAAAACGCTGCTCGAACACCCTTGTTAGCTGACAGATGGGTGATCCGTAAAAGTTTGGGTGGGGCTATATGCGGCATGTCTCTACAAATAAGCAAATTCACTCGCTCCGTGCTCGTTCGGCAGGGGAGATTTATCCATTTGTTGGATATTGGTTGGGTTCCCGGCTTACCCACTGCTGAATGTTTGTTGCTCTTATTTTTTTGTGCTGAATTTACGTTCTGTAGGTGCATCTTCGCTCACGTCAATCGGTAAGTACGTTGACGAACCGGTGGTTCTTGCGAATAGACATACCCATTGCTTGTCATTTGTGGCCTTTACTTAAACAGTACCCTATCGCCAGATTTTGTATTTGAACTGCGAGTTTCAGTCGCGCTCACCTGGTACCACAGACATCACTGCGGTGGCATGGAAGGATCTTGGCCACGTTCTTCGACACAAGTTCACGTTAGTTTCTCACATGCTTTTCTCCGTTGCTCATCAAAACTGCATGAACGGAACAAGTTTTTGTTCAAACGGCTAGGTTCACGAATGGTCGAATATGCTTCACTCTAGCAAACGTGTCCAAATCCTACGGAGTTGTCAATTAAGTTCATTCCTGGTTTTCTTTGTGTTTTCAGAAACATTTACAGAAAAAGTTGTAGCTGTAAAGATAGACTATATGTATGGCATGGTGAATGTTTTTACTGATGGAACTGCTTCGAAATTACTTTTCAAATCCAGTACAGCCAAAGCAAGTGCAACTTATATTTTCTGAGTAATTTCTTTGAAGGCTCTTCACTGGAGCACGTCGTCCACTATCTGACGCCGATCTAAACTACCTCTCCGAAAAATTGCTTGTTCCGAATGTTCCAGATCAAAAGCCCATCACATTTCATCGTTTCGCCAAGGTTTGCTCTCCTACCCATTTACAGTGGCATCATGCATCTTCTTGCATCACCAAATATCGAGTTTTCTCTCAAAGAGGTCATGGGGTTTTCTTACAGCAAAATCTTCGCGATGATGTCTCGTTTTCGTTTTGGGAATGGTTTTTCGCAATTATGCAGCTCATAAAGCAGAAGTTACTGAAATTTTGGGACGAAGGTGAGTGGTCACAATGTAACTCTTGGTCTTGCGTGGTCACGTTTCTTTGCCCATCCTAGATGTTTGAGGGGTTGTGCTGTTGTTGGCCTTATTTTTGGTGTTTCAGGATGGTTGGTGGGATTTATATCAAAGCATGACGCTTCGCAGTCCATGATGATGTCAAGTCATTCGACCTTCCTGCTGCGCTTCAGTGACACCCAGACGGGCGCAGTCAGCATAGGATTTGTGTGTGAGGATGATGATGGTCAGAAAGGTGCGTAAGTCAATACTAAGACATTCCGGCTTCCTTATTCAAAATTCTGGATTTTTGCATTGTACCGTTCGGAGCAAGTGAAAATGAACCGTTCAGTGCCTTTTCATCTGGCACCATTTTCCATCAAGGATCTCGACCAGCTTTCTCTAGCTCAGCGCATAGCCAGCTGTCCTCAACTGAAGGAGATTAAGTGAGTTGATTGTTTGTGTTTGACCTCGCTGTCACCTCACTGTTTTCGAAGATTCTGTCGCATGGGGTATGCCTTCTGACTTCGGAGATGTTCTGGTTCGCAGTCCGGGTCCTAAAGGCAGTGAGTACGATGGATGGAAGGCGGAACGGTTTCTGTAACGTCATTGAGCGTAACTAGTGAAAAGTTATTTTAAAGTGATCTCACACCTAGGCCACTGATGATGTGATGACTTGGGCGGATGGGTGGCGCCTTTTGGAAATAAGAGAGATTGAATGTCTCTCTTATAGCAAACAATACAGTGGTTCAGTGGACAAGATTTTTATCCTTAAGACAGAAAAAGTAATGTACCCTGTTGCGGGCAGAACAGAACCTGAGAATGCCTAAGCCCCGCCCCCAAGGAGCGGGGGTGACCGCGGGTTCTGGCCTAAGCCAGAACAGATGATGTCTAATGACGTGAACAACCCCTCTACCCTACGGCCACCGTGTTCTACCTTTGAGATACACTGCCTTTGAGATACACTTTGCTCTGTTCCATTCAATCTTCTCTTGATACGTGCTTTCCCATGAACTTATTCAATGGAGTATTCCACAATAAAGTCGATGGTCGAAGAAGGCAAAATACACTGCGTTTCATAATTATAGGTCCACCCTAAATTTTTGCTACCCCAAAGTTGCTGTGCATTTTTTGGAAAATGCTGCTATCACCATTAGATTCCTCATCACGGAAAACCTTCATAGTGTTTTTCTGACAAAGTTCCCCCCTCAAGTAACCCAATTAACTTTTTTAGAACGAATTTTCACCGTTTCAT